GTTGATGCGTCATCCCGAGGTTCAGGGAGAGATCAGTCCTCTCCCGGCAGTGCGGGACGAGGGTTCTGTCGGTGCACTGCATCCACTCACGTCTGCCGGAGCAGCAGTCTCAGTTGCAGCGACCTCGGATGTGGGACAACCACTGGCAGCGGCGGAGCAAGAAAGTATGCTCCCACCTCGCAGTGTTCAACCGCGGCCACCGCCTGCATTGATGGAGGGGAGTCAGGGGACCGTTGTTGTGTGTCAAGGCGACGATCTCTCGGAACGTGATATCTCACACACTCCCGCAGCCGAGCAGAGCGCCGCAGACCATGTCGGCCTTGCATGCCCCACCGGCAGTCTTCCGGGTACCGGCGAGTTACTGACCATGGACTCTGCGCTCGTTTCTCTACCGGACTTGTCGACGTTGATATTCCCTGGTCTACCCCATGTGTCACCACCCAAGCCACAACAGCCTGTTGTCATGGAGCGTGGATCGGACGGTTTGACGTGGCAGGAGGCGATATCGCCGATATGATTACGATCCCAATGGTGTCTGCCACGCCCACAATTTTTCGTGTTGGCAAACTACGCGAGGTGACCCTTGGTTTGGCGGAGACGGCGACGCAACACCGCCGCGACAGTCAGCGCAGCATCGCACAACGCAGTCTTTCTCATTCGTTTGACGGTGCAGAGGAAGGGTCTCCTGGTGGGCCAGTTGACACACTYGAAAGAGAAGCAAGACCCCCAAGTCCATCGTCAAACTCAGAGCATCATCCGATTGTTGCGGCTGTCGGCGCAGATGCGGGCGTCCCCGTCACAAACAGTGGCGCGGACGCGGCAGAACAGCTTGTGGTTGGGTCATCGGCGACAGCACGGCGCGACAGAGCCACTGTTTTGCCGACAGTGGCATTYTATGCCAGCGGGAAGAGTACTGGGGGGATGGATGAGCAGGGAGTCCGAAATGTTGGCAGGCCATCTGCACCGTCTATGGGGAAACGATCTATTGGGAGTGTGGATRGTGCTCGGCACACCGCCATGGCAGAGTTTGAGGACCGACACGGGAGTGCTTTGCCGACGAAGACGTCTGATGTCCATGCTACGAGAGCCGCAAAGGCGAGTCTTTCTCGGGCAAGAAAGAAGGCCTCGGTAAGGAAGGCGTCACGTTCATCCTCACATATGCGTTCCCGAGAGAGAGGATCGAGCGTTGTGCATCTCGAGGACGGAGAGATGCCACCTGACGGTAACGCATTGGATGTTGGAGGGAAGGATGCAACGACAGCGGATATCGTCGGCAGGGAGGGCACAGGGAATGCAGTGGCAGGTCAGAAGAGACGCGGCACTGTACTTATCGTCCACGACGACAGCACAGATGTCGCCCCGGGAGAGACCACAGGCACTGATGATGCAGGGGACTCCGATTACGTACCCAAACCACGGGCGGCAGATGGAGATGATGGAGGAGGGCGACGAGTGAGACCGAGGACACGACTCGGGCCGCAAGGGCMGCGAGCACAGGGCAYACCATCKGCRATGATTCCTGCCCCCATAGATYGGCGAGCTCARGCGCAGYGGTTGYTGCGCAAAATGGAGGCCACTCTTCAACAGACGCACGGGTTATCGCTTGGCCGCGAAGAGACGGAGACTCAGAGACAGGGGGAGAGAGAGAGAGAGAGAGAGAGAGAGAGAGAGAGAGAGAGATTTATCAGATACTTGCGCTGGCTGCGTTGTTCGAGAAGCAGGCGCTGGCTTTCACTAGGACGGGAGGCCATATGGCCTAGGCCCGTAGCATGAGAGCCTATAGCCGGGCAACAGAGGCGGTTAGAAAATTGCTTCACTTCAGCTTGTTATACTTTTATTTTGTTACTCTCGCAGCCTCGGATCTTCACAGCCTCGTAGCCTCGTAGGTATCTTATTGTGATTGGTTGTTGCCACTTGTTCGAACTCTTGGGAGTCTTGGGAGTATTGTCTGAGAGAGAGAGAGATTTATGAAATACTTGCGCTGGCTGCGTTGTTCGAGAAGCAGGCCCGGGCTATCACTAGGATGGGAGGCCATATGGCCTAGGCTCGTAGCATGAGAGCCTATAGCCGGGCAAGCAGAGGCCGTTCAGAAAATTGTTTCACTTCAGCTTGTTATACTTTTATTTTGTTACCCTCGCAGACTCGCATCCTCGCATCCTCGTAGCCTCGTAGCCTCGCAGAGTCGCAGGTATCTTATTGTGGTTGGTTGTTGCCTCTTGTTCGAACTCTTGGGAGTCTTGAGAGTATTGTCTGAGGTTGTATATCTATTCAGATGGTGCAATGTTTTTTTTTTTTTATTTTTTTTATATCTATGCAGAATTGGAAATGGACCAAATGGTGCAATTTTTTTTTTTTTGAGTATCATTGACAAACCTTCAGCCCACATAGCACACCACCCAGCCCACATAGTCCCGCGGTACCACCCCCGAGCCC